ACCAAGCTTTTTCAAACATTTTTCAAACGTTCCAAGCATAACATAACTTTTTAAACATAAACAAAGCTCAGTACATCATTTTCACAAAAAAATATAAATTAAAGTTTACCTGAAAGATATTTATCTAAAATGTTATCAAAAAAACAATCAAATCAACCGTGAAAGAATTTTACGCATTTATTAATACTGGATCACCGTCTAGAATCTATTTTAAATTTAACCAGAGTTAGTCAACTGTTTCTCAAGTTCTCAAATTTTTATTCATTAATCGCAAGTCAAAATCTGGAAGTAAGAAAGAATTTGGGAATAAAAAGTTGGTCCTTGAAACTAGTCGTTCATATTTGGAGAATTGTAGATCTGACTATGAAAGAACAAAAAGATACAAAATATCTTGTTGCTTTGTTTCTTTTTGCTTTTTTATGGTCTCTTATTAAATAAATCTAAACAGCTAAATACTATCAAAATGCGCGCTATTGCATACTATTATTGAATAAGTATATATATATATATATATATATATATATATATATATATATATATATATATATATATATATATATATATATATATATATATATATATATATATATATATATATATATATATATATATATATATATATATATATATATACATTGTTAATTTAAAGCTTTTAAAGTTAGAACAACTTTTTCTAGACCATGATACACGTTAATGCTGATATTGGCACATCAGCATAGACGTTTTTACAAAATTTTTAAATTTTTTTAAACTAGCAACCTTTAAAATTGTTTCAAAAACTGTTGCTTTCTTAAATTGTTTCAAAAATTGTCGTTTTCTTAAATTGTTTCAAAAAATTGTTGTTTTCTTAAATTCTCAATAAGAAGTTGTGAACCACCTCATGAACAGCATTTGGTGTTTCCATTTTATTATTTATATTTTCTTATGTTAATTGTTTTCATTATTTTAGATGCGTTTATCGTCATTGTATCCAATTATTTTTACTAAAAAAATAATTAACTGATTAAAATCTTTTTTTTCACTTGCACTCATAATCATGACTAGTTTTGTTTCTTTAAGTGAATACTTTCTTTGTAACTTGAAACACCTTTTTTAAAGTGCCAAATACCTATCATTTTATAAATCTTATTATGTTATACTTTATATATTAATATATTGAAAAAATATGACAATTGTTAGTTGTTAATTAGTGGAACGTAAATTACAAATGTAATTAAGAAATATAACAAATCATTTTATTTTCATGAAAAACGAGGTAAAACATTCAATACACCAGAAACTTTTTTTGATCTAGTTTTTTGGCAAGTTTATTGGCCCAAAAAAACTAATAGCAAAGTTTTAGATAAGATTGCTCAAAAATTAAAACTAATCAAGTTTTAATATTTTACTGTTGTATTCCCTTTAAGATGATAAATGTCCAGAAATAATAAAAATTTTTGTTAATATTTCTTATTTTTAAAGGATTGTAACCATTTTCTATACGTTTAAATTTAGGCCAAACTCCTGATTCCAAAATATCCAAAAAAAATTATTATTTAAAAAAAAAAAAAAATTATTAAATTGCCGGTGGCCAACTAGAGCTCCTGCTGCAAGCAAACCAGGCATATTGTCAAAATTAGTATTTATTCTCTAAGAATGGACTGATGTTCCTAATCATCTGCAACTGCTCAAATAAAATTTTCTAACCACTGTTCTTTTATTGCAAGCAAGGCACATTCTCGTTCCTACTTACTTTTAAAATCCTTCATTAGTAATAATTTCAAGCTTCTGATCAAAGCCTATAAAGTTTATGCTCAACCTATCATAGAATCTTGTACCTCTGTGTGGAATCTTTTAAAAGATATACGCTGGTTAAAAAAGGTTAAGAAATCCTTTACTAAAAGTATTTGTTAAAGTATCTGTTATATTTCTTATAAAGATTATTCTTCAAGACTCAATATCTTCAATCTAGAATCCCTTGAATGCCGTGGAATAAAATTTGATCTTGTAATGACCTATAGCTTTACAAGTTCCAAATTTTCACTTATAGTGGACCAAGCTTTATTGTTGTTTTGAAGATGTACCAAGGTGTAAAACAAAAACAGTAAACAGTACACTAAAAAAGCAAAAAGATTTGCAAAAATTTGAATAAATTTGAAAAATTGTAAAAATTTGAAAAAATAAATTGAAAATTTGATTTTGTTGTGTCATTTTTAAAGTATTATAAGCTCTAAAATATGCCATGAATTAAGAAAATGCAATTTAGTTTGCTGTTTGAAACGATATAATGCTTTTTAAGTCTTTAATATTTGGGATATGATTCCATATTGGTGAGCACGAATTGTAACCATGACTGCTCAGATTTTCTTTATATTAGGTTGTAACTTTTGAACGCAGATTTTTTCTGAAAATGGTACCAATAAAATATCAGAAAAAACGCTAAGTAGGAGATTATTCTTATACTTATATAAAAAAAAAATCTGTAATAAATTGAGCTTTTCAATATCTATGACCATCTTGTTTCTCACAATCGGGGCCGGTTTTAATAATAGTTAATTAATTTGCATGCATGGTTTAGCAGGTTTGCAATTTTTGTATCTTTGTTTTGTGTGCTAGCTCATACAATATTTTATGTAAAAGCTTACAATGTACCAGACTAAATTAAAGCATTTTCGGTGATTTTTTTATCAAGAAAAGATCTACATTTATTTAAAAGACCTGTTGCAGAGGATAATTTAATTTCAGTATGACCGATATGGTTTTTTCATTATTAATTTTCATCAAACAAAAATTAAAATTAAAAATAATTAAAAAATAACTCAACAATTATTTATATTTCTCACGTTTAATTTTACTTTTGTTAATAAGCAGCTTGGGCAGCTTTAATGTGAAATTTTTAATGGATAGTTTTGTTTCATAAAAGAGAGTGAAGTTAGTTTGGTGACAATTTGGTGCGATGAACTAGAGATTAAAATTGAACCAGATTTTTGAGACTGAAATAATTGAATTAGAAAAATTTTCTTATTCAATATACAGTCTCAAACACAGTCTTTGTGTTAGATTAAAAAATAAATTTGCAATGTCAGCATACATGGTTGTATTTATCTTTTGGGAAGCTTATACTGACTTTCAAGTATTACACATTGCTTTCTATTAGATAATTAGCTAGGATCCACTTATATGTTGTGCCTTTTATACCGTCATATTTAAGCATGGAAAGTAAAATCAAAAGCTTATCCAAAACTTATCAAAAATTGAACAAAAACTTTAGAAAAATAAATAAATATTCTTATACCAATTCGTCACTATCAAACGAAATATTTTTTTTTTGGCAAGTGTAAAAATAGCATTTTCAGTAGAGCAATGATTTAAAAGTTCAAACTGATTTTTGTATAAAAACATATTTTTTGTAAACTAATTATTAACTTCATTAAAAGATTTTCTCTCAAATATTTTTGAAAATACTTTGTGGAAGAGAAAATAGTGAGGTAGTTAAAGACATTTTTGCATTCATCTTTTTTGAAAACAGAGGGTTAACTTTAGTTGATTTAAGTTTTTAAGGAAATGTACTACTTTCAAATGCTGATACTATATCCACATGATTTGTGACGTTTAAGTTCAGTAATTGCGTTAATAATTTCAAGTCTAGTTATCTTTTCACTTTTTATAATAATAGTGAAGAAATTATTTTTTTTAGTAGTGTGCAACGGAAGTAGGTGCTGCATTGTAACCAGTTTTATAAATTGTAAAAATCAGATTTCCCAAAATGAGAAATTCGATTTTCAATATTTAGTGTTTCTATAGACTAAATATGGATGAAAAGTGTTGTTCACAATAAAATCATACCTTAATATTATATATAAACGCCTCTTCATTGACCTCTAATTGAAACCCCAAGAAAATTGTTAAATTTCAGGAATTCAATTATTTTATTTTTGTTCGTTATTGATTTCATTTTTTTGTTTTTTGTTGTTTGTTATTTTTTTATTTCAGGAATTCTATTATTTTTATTGGTTATAATTAATTCTAAAACGATTTCTTTATTAATCTCGTTAAGTTGAAAAATTGGATTGTGATCATTTAAAATTTAAAATCTTTTTCCATACAAATGTTCACTAAAACCTTGTTTGTTTATTTTAGGCAAATTAAAATCTCCATTAATTAGAAGACAATTAACTTCATTTTGACTCATTACTTTTTTTGCTTAATATAACATCATTTATCTAATTATTTAATTCTGATATGCATCCTATTAAAATTTTTTCACTTGCTACATATTACGTGCACCAAATATACTGAATGCATTATTTGGTGCAAAATAAAAGTCTCTAATTAATTGGATATTGGTATCAATGTCAACATTCATTCGATTTATTCCGTTCAAATATAATATTTTATTCATTTTATACCTTATTAATTATTAATAGCTTTAAATATTTGAACTAAAAATAATTAAAAAGTAATAATAGTAAAATTGAAAATGAAAGTTTTTAAAATTTCAAAAAGTTGTAAACAAAACTAAACCAATACGTGTTTAATAATAATTTAAAATTTATAAGTTCTGCAGACCAAATTAATAAGTGTTTCTGTAGACCGTAAAAATAATGTCTTTCTATAAAAATATTCACGTTACTGAAACTTATAGAATTAAAAATATTTATTAACGAAATAAATTGACAGAAAAACAATAGTTATAATATATAACAAACTGCAGTGTGTACTTAATATCATTATTGTATTTTGTGTCAAAACTTTAATTATAATTTTGATTAAATAATAATTGCATCTCAAATTAAAATTTGAAACTAGTTACCAAGTCGCTGTTGATGATAAAAAACTATAAACGAATAAAACAAATTAAATAAATAGATTGTTTTAGAATAAACATTTTACTATAATATTTTTGGAAAGATGAAGTAAAGACTGCGTTTATATTTTATTCAACATATTCATTTTTTAACACAATCTCCATTTAACACATTGATTGTTTAAATTTATTTTTTAATGAGATAAAAAGAAAATTCAGCATACAGAAAGTTCAACAAAATTGAAAAATGTCATACTGTGATGACAGCGTTTTTTTAAAAAACCATGTGCCAAAGCAAACTAGGGGAACAGGGAGAAACAGTTTTGATAAAGCTAAAATGTTTGGGAGCCGGTTAATTCGTTTATCTGATAGTTCCGATAATTATCAATATGACTACGACTACCTCCAAATGGAATTCGCTGGAATGGATGCTGAAACAGGTAATAAATAAAAATCTTCCAGTTTAAATAAAAAGTAGAGAAAAACAAATAAGCAAAACGTATAAACATTTACAGAAAATATAAAACCCAAAAAATTTAAATCCATTTTGTTAACAACTTTACATAAACAAAGTAATTTTGTAAACAAAGCTAGTTATTATCATTAAACAAAAATATTCTATTGTGTGTGACCATGTTTTTGTTGTTGCTGCATATAACAGAGCATGTTTACTCATACAGAAATTTCGTAAGTTTATTTAAGACAATACCTTGCCGATAAAATGTATTATATTGTTCTATATTAAAAACAAAACAGTGTGACCAGCAAGTAGATAAGATTAAAGTACATCATAAATCGGCATGACATCCTTATTGCGAAATTTATTGTTTACATAAATATTTTGTATTTTTTAGGATATCAAAATGCATTTTTGTTTCCAACCACATCCCCAATGGCTCTTGAAGATAATAGATTTAATGATAAAGGTATAATTAAAGGAATTGCGCCTGAAAAACGAATAGAACAATATATGAAAAGCTTCTCATTACATGGTCTTACTAAGATTTTTGTGGCTCGTTCAAGATTCGAATCATTGTTTTGGCTGATTGCGTTGTTAGGGGGCATCTCTTTGTCTATGTATGTCAGCGTTAATCTGGTAATAAAATATTTAAATTACGAAGTTTACACTGACGCAAAGTTAGAAATTACCGATAAAAACTATTTTCCAGCGGTCACAATTTGTGAAAGAGATCTTCTCCAGTCTTTTTATTTTTCTTACTGTGGGCTAACCTCCGATAATCAAAGCAGTTTTATACCTTGCCAAAATCAAAAAAAAATTCATATTACAACAGATAATAAAACATGGTGGTCGAATGGACTGTTTAATGTAACTCTGTGTACAACATGGGGTGCAAAACAGTGCGTTAAAAATGATTTCTTTTTGTCGCTAAGTCAGTACAATCATGCTTGCATCCGATGGAATTATAACGGAGATTTATATGATATGTATAGCCATGTAGATATAGAGTTTACATGTATAAGTGATATAGATCAACCACCACCAAATATAATTTTAATATCTCACGACCCCCTTGTCTCAGAAATAGACTTTACAAATGCAATTTCTCTTGAAGCCAAACAATATAGTATAAATATGGAAAAAACAATAATAGAGTTGCTTCCCTCTCCATTTCCATCTAAATGCAAAGATGACAAAGACAACGATATGTTTCCAGGAAAATACACACGCAGAAGTTGCTTAGAAACACAAAACTACATTGGTATGTTTAAAGAATGTGGAGATATATTTGATTACATGAAACAGTATATACCAAAAGGAATTTTGCTAAAATACAAGAAAAACGACACCAAGTCTAACTTTTTTAACTGTATGTATTCGTACAGTATGCGAGAAGCAAAGTCGTCGTCAGTGCTCTGTCCATTTCCTTGTTCAGAAACTCAAATAAGTATGGTTGTTTCTTCTCGAAATTATTTTAAAAATGATCAACGAAGAGATTCAAAAATATATTCTATAGGAATTCAATACAGTTTGGTGGATTCTTACAGAGTAGTTAAAGAAAAACAATTATACTACATACACCAGTTAGCGTGCGAAATTGGTGGCTTGATTGGCTTAATGGTCGGTTTTTCTTTAATATCAGCAATTGAAATAGTGACCTGCTCAGTTTTATGGCTGATTTGTAAAATTCGAAAATTAAATAAATTTTAAAATTAGAAAAAATGTTTCGTACAATTCATTTTAACTAAATAGACAACTTCCATTTTTTATTTTTATTAATCAATACACATTATTACATTAGCTAAAAATTAAAAATATAAATTTTGATACTTTATTTTTAATGTCTTATAAATATTATAAATATTTAGATTTTTTGATGGTTTTTAAGTTTTTATGTTAAAAATGCTGTGATAAAAATCTTCAAGTGTTATAAATAAGAAATTGTTTATTTTTCAAAAATCAATATTTTCAATATTGGTTTTTGAAAAAAAAAAATTAAAGTTGTATTTCAATATATATTGCGAAATAAATAGAATCAAAATTTAAAAAAGCTTTAGTAATTTAATCATGGAGAACTCGTGAAAAACTGTAAACGTTTTGAAAAACTGTAAACAAATTTTCCAAAGTGTTTACAGGAGTCTTCGTGAATAGGTTCTTTTTCTAAACTCTATTAATAAAAACATAAGTTTTTCAATTCATAAACTGCTATATTTTTCAATAAAATAATCGTATTAAGAAGTAAAAAAAAGAATAACATTAATGGACACATATACATATATGTAACACATTTTTTTTTTCCTTTTTTTGACATTTTTTATTTGATTAAAAAAAAATTTAATGTAATTGTTTTTATCATGAACGAGATTTTTGTACATTTTTTATGACTAATAACATTGTCTGAAACAACCAATTTTTTACCAATAAACTTATATGTTTTTGTTGAAAAAATTTTTTATATAAATTGGCATGGCAACTATTATTCTATGTTACAACATTTTATTTGGTATAAAATAAGTATTTCTGACAACAATATAGAGGTTTTAACTATTAAAATCTTAAACAAAAAAATCTAAAATTTTTACTTAGCTGTTGCTATCGGCCCCCACCAGGCATAATTGAAAATTTTAGTACATTTCTTTTTCACGATATGATAAAAATTGCAATAAAGAAAAATATTTTACATATTAGGAGACTTTAACCTCGGTTGCTTCGGATATCACGTCAAAAATTAAATCAATATATTTTATGCTTTAAAATCGGCCATATTCTCCTGATTAATAAACCAATTAGATTCACTCAACCAACGACATCTCTTATAGACACTGCTTATAGATAATATAATAACCAATGATTTATTTGATGGAACTCTTCAAAAGCGCATAATTAAAAATGATATTTAACATCATTTTCTAATATTCTTCTCGAATAATACTAATAACAAATTATTGCCGAAAACAAGGCAACTTCATATGAAACATTTTTTTTTTTTTTTTGAAAAAATTTAATATTGTATATATAGAACAACTATTTCTACTACATTGGAAACATACTTTAGATGATGTAAACTTAGTCTACAACCCCTTTTTTTTAAGCATTCTTTGCAATATACAAATCAAATTACCCCTTCCCCCTCAAAAAAAATAAATTATTCTTTAACCAAAAAAAAAAATAAACCATCATGGATTAACAAAGAACTAAGAAAGTCTTCGAAATTTAAACAAAAAATACATATGAAATATTTAAAATTAAAATCAGTGGAAAGTAAAGATGTACTTTTAAGGATATTTTCATGTTCCATGAGACAAGGAATTTTTCCTAATTAGTTAATAATAGCAAAAATTTTAAAGGAGGAGATTTAGCTTGTATTAGAAATTACCGTCCTAAATCTTTTCTTTCTGTTTTCTTAAAAGTTTTAAAAATAATTTATTTCATAATAATCTCATTTATAACAACCAATACAATAAAAAAAAAAAGTTATACAGAACATGGAGTAATCTAGTTTTTAAGAAGTATAACTTAACAGTTTTTAAGAAGTATAACTTAACAGTTTTTAAGAAGTATAACTTAACAGTTTTTATAAAGTATAACTTAACAGTTTTGTGGAGCTTTTCTGTGAAATAAAATAATTTCAAAATTTTTGATATTTTTAAGAAATGTAGTTATCCCTCCTTTAAAAAAATAACTTGCGATTATTATATTTCTAATTGATGAAATACATATGTCTTTTTTTAATTTTCATTTTAAGTTTTCATTTAGTCTTATTTTCTTCTTTAAAATTGTGTTTTAAAATAAATTGATATATTAAAATAGTTTTATTTCTAATTATTTGCGCTAGTATAGTAATTAAACTATTTTAATTAAGTTAAACCACTTTTAGGTTAGAATTTCGGTATGAATTTAAACAGCTGTTAAAAAAAAACAAAAAAACACAATAACCTTCAATTACCATAATGTGATAATGTTTAACTCAAAATATGTTTTTTCTTTAATTTATGTTAACTCTGAAATGTGAAATTAGCGTAAAATAACCAAGACAGTGGTTACCCACCTTAGTGGGTGACTATGGTCTTGGTTATGTTACTGTACTTGGTTATTTTATCTGTATTTGTTTTTTTACGTGTAAAAACTAAATTTTAATTTTAATTATGCTTTCTGCTACGCTTTCCATAAAAACTGTGATAGCAATCACCATACTTATAAGACAAAATCAATAGCAAGACAAAATTTTTAATTAGACTAAGTTTTTATATAGAGAAAACTTATATTTAATAAAATACATTTTAATTACTTTTTTTATTTTGTCACTAATAAAGTTAATTATTTAGTTTTCTTTTTTATTTTATCGCATTTATAAAGTTATGGGAGAAAACTGTTGTTCATCCTGGAAAGGTTTATTCACTATGGTTTGATTAGTTTTTCCCGATTAAGTACAATATTTATAATTCAGCTATTACAAGCCGTTGTACCCAACGTAGCGGTCATTTTTATTCGTAAAATCATACATTTGTAAAACTTACATTTACTTATTTTAGTCTCAAAGTTGCAGGGTTTTTATGTAATAATAAAAAAGTTGCAGTAGTTATGCAATATTGGAAAAATCTACTCTAATATATATCAAACGTTTTGGCTTAAACTTTCAAAGTTGTAAACACACTATTTTCTACAATTAGATTTTGTTAATAAAGAAAATTTTATTCTTAAAAACTTTGTTTTGTGCTGATAAACAAATGTTAATTTTTAAGAACAATGTTTCAACAAAGCTTGAAAACCTTACCAACAGCGACCTTGTATAACTTATAAAAATCTTTATTTTACAAAATTTTATAAGTATATTGTTTGGATAATTAAGTTTTGCAAATTTATTATTTACAATGTTATGCTAAAAATATCCAAACTTTTAATCTTTGACATGAGATTTTATTACTCTAGATACTTTTTTTATACCGTGCATATTTTTTTAAAGATTTATTAAGAATAGTTGAATATTTTATTTTTCTTCTCAATCGTTCTTTAAAATATTCATCGCGCAAATTTACTTTTTAATGAGAAAAAGAACGTCATTAAATTTAGCAGAAGAAAAAGATGAAAAACAGTGATGAAAGTATATCATCTAGCAGTTATTTACAAAGTTCATCTGTGTGGCATGTCGGCCAAAACAATTTCGATAAAAAAACTAAGAAATTTGGCAGCCGATTAATTGAGTCTCAAGATGACGATTACCAATACGATCATGACTATCTTCAAATGGAAGTAATTGGAAAAGACGTAGAAAGAGGTAAACAACAAATAAAGAATTGTTAAGATTAATTCATAGTAATTATAAAAATTACTTTTTGAAACGATAATCATTCAATAAATAATATAAAAATGCTATGAAAATTAGTAAAAAAAAAAAATGAAAAAAGCAGTAAAATAAAAAAGTTGTAAATTACAATCAACAAAATTATTTTAAAATGAATTAAAAGTTTATTGAAAAATTATATCAAAAAATACTTATTATATTTAAACAATTAAGAGACTTAATATTACTTAAAAGAGTGACAGATGGACGAAAAAAATGACGGACTGTTTGATAACCATTTTTAAATATTTGTTGCTTAAATAGGATGCGTAAAGAAATACAATGGTAATCAAAGATCATCGTTAGAAATTGAGGATAAAAACTTATACAAAAGTTGCCAAAAAAGTAGAAATGTTATAGAAAATATTATTGAAGAATATATAAATGGCTTTTCATTGCATGGTCTCACAAAAATATTTGTGGCTCACACAAGACTTGAATCATTATTTTGGTTGATTGCATTATTAAGTGGAATCATGCTGTCCATGTATGTTAGTACTAACCTTGTTAACAAGTATTTGAGGTTTGAAGTTTATACTGAGACGAAGTTAGAAATTACTGATAAAAATTATTTTCCTGCCGTGACAATTTGTGAAAGACAACTTCTCTTAGACTTTTATTACGCGTATTGTAAATTTGAGCAACCGAATGACTCATATCCGTGTCAACATAAAAAACAAAAAATCGAAGACAACCAAAGTACCACCGATAATAAAACATGGTGGTCAAACGGTCTGTTTAACATAACTAAATGTAGTTCATGGGGTGCAAAACAGTGCGCAAACAACGATTTTCTGTACTCTCTTAGTCAGTACAACCATACTTGTATTCGATGGAATTACAATGGTGATTTATACGATATGTACGGTCACGTAGACATAGAGTTTACAATTAACAATAGTTTACTTCTTCCATACCAAGAACCAAATATTATCCTAATGTCACACGATCCATTAATTTTTGAAATAGATATAACAAACGCAGTCAATTTGGAAGCAAAGCAATACAATATAAACCTTGAAAAGACTTTTATTGAAAGATTACCTTTTCCATTTCCATCAAAATGTACTGATAGTAAAAATAATGATATGTTTACTGGAAAATACACTAGAAGAAGTTGCTTGGAAACTCAAAATTATATTGATATGTATAAAGAATGTGGAGATACTATAGATTATATTAGACAGTATATACCCAAAGATATTTTGCAGAAATACAAAAAAATAGATACAATATCAAACATTGAAAATTGTATAAATCTATATAGTCATAAGGAAGTAAATCCTTTGTCAAAAAACTGCCCTTTTTCTTGCACTGAATACCAAATAAACATGCTTGTTTCATCACGAGAATATTTTAAAAATGACAATAAAATAACAACGGAAACGTATTCAGTAGGTATACAATACATAACGGTCGATTCTTATCGAATAATAAAAGAGAAGCAATTATATTCAATACACCAAATGGCTTGTGAGATTGGCGGCTTGATTGGATTAATGGTTGGGTGTTCTTTATTGTCTGCTATTGAAATTATTGTTTGTTCAGTGTTATGGCTAGTTGTTAAGTTTAAAAAAATAGTCCTAAGAATAAATTAATTTTTTAAAATTATTTTGGTATTTTAATATATTTAAAGCTTTGTAAAATGTCACTATTCAAATATAAACTGTCTAATAAAATTGTACTTTAAGTTTTTTAAGTTTTCGGAGCAAAAAACAATCAGAGAAAAATTTGAAAATCTTATTAACAATTTTATCTGCAAGCTTAATTTATTTTGCTGAACATTCAGAGTTTCCAAAACTTTTAAAAACCGATATAACTTCATGCCAAAAAAGGATGGCCTGGGGAGGGGGGTGAAGTAAATACATCAACTAATTATTAGGTGTTAAGCATATAAGCATATAAGATATTGTTCTAGTAATTATTTACTATTTTAAGATGAAATTCAAGTTTGCCGATAATTTTAATATAGTTTAAAGCTAATTTTTTTTTGAAGTTTGCATTAATTTAATTTTAAAATGTAGCTCTTTTAAAACGTTTACTATAAGTTTAGTTAAAATGTTTGTTTTAAATTTAGTTTTAAATGTTTCCTATTAGTTCAACTTTAAAATGTTTTTTATAAGTTCAATTTTAAAATGTTTTTTATAAGTTTAGTTTTAAAATGTTTCCTATTAGTTCAACTTTAAAATGTTTTTTATAAGTTCAATTTTAAAATGATTGTTATAAGTTTATTTTTAAAATGTTTTCTATTAGTTCAACTTTAAAATGTTTTTTATAAGTTCAATTTTAAAATGTTTGTTATAAGTTTAGTTTTAAAATGTTTGTTATTATTTTAAAATGTTTCCTATTAGTTCAACTTTAAAATGTTTGTTATAAGTTCAATTTTAAAATGTTTCCTATTAGTTCAACTTTAAAATGTTTGTTAAAAGTTCAAATTTAAAATGTTTCCTATTAGTTCAACTTTAAAATGTTTGCTAAAATTCAATTTTGAAAATAATAAAAGTTAAATCACTTTTTTTTATGTATAAATTGACATTAGGTCGGGTAAATAAAAATGAGCAATTGCTTTTACTTTGTTAATTAGTTAGCTTTACGTAAATAAAAACTTTATGAATTTTTATATAAGTTTTTATTCACGTAAAGCTGACCAATTACTGACTAAATTGCTTAGCTTCACGTGATTAAAAATTTGAGTAAAACTGATTAAGTTTATTCATATAAAGCTGACCAATTACTTATTAAAAGCAATTGCTAATTTTTTTTTTACTCGGCCTATTGTGCCATGATAAACATCAAAAACTGGAAGCAAAAGTTTTTCAAAATTTATTCAAAATAGATTTAAAATATTGGGTCGGCTAATAAGTAATGACCGTTTTTTCAATTTGAATTGGCGCGTGAATAACAAAGTGTTTTGGCATATTGTTTTATTGTTATTCGAAAGAGCTTTCTTTTCTCTATAAAATAGTATATGAGATTTTTTTGTTGACCTTAATTTTTTTTTATTTTCAGATCATTGAAATGAAGTGCCAAGTCGACAAAACCGAGCATTTTCAACAACTTCTTTTTTTTTGCGTTCAATCAAGGTGCTACGGCCACAAAAGCTGCTAGTGACATTTATGCTGTGTACGAAGAAATCTCTATGACTGCAAGAGCTGCTCAAAATTGGTTTGCGAAGTTCAAAGACCACAATTTCGATATTAAGGACGCTCCTTGTTCCATGTGACCAATCGAATTTGATGAAGAGCGTTTGAATCAACTTTTGTATGAAGACGCGCGCCAAACCATTCGGGAGTTGGCAGAGAAGATAGGATGCGTGCACGGCATTGTTGAGCATCACCTTCACTTGATGGGCGAGGTTCAAAAGTTTCGCGCGTGGGTTCTACATGCATTGAGCAAAAACAACAAAAACCAACGTTCCACTATTGCCGCCAGTTTGCTCGCCCGTCATCGCTCAACTCATGGACACAAGCAAAAATTCCTTTATCGAATTATTACGGGCGACAAAAAATGATGCCTTTATATCAATATGAAGCAGCGCAAAGAATGGCTCAACCCGGACAAAAAAGCGACACCACGAACGAAGCAAGATCTTCATCCTCGAAAGACACTGCTGTGCGTATGGTGGGGCTGGGAAGGCATTATTCACTATGAATTGCTTGACCGGAACCAAACAGTGAATGCAGATCTTTATGTTCAACAGATGCACCGCCTCAACAACGCTATTCAACAAAAACGTCCCGATCGACAACATGGTGTTCTTTTTCAACACAACAATGACCGACCACATATCGCCAATTTGACCAAGGAAGTTATTCTGACGCTTGGTTGGGAAGTGTTACCGCATCCTCCATATTCTCCGGACTTAACGCCTTCAAAATTTCATCTTTTCCGATCCTTTCTAACGCTTTGCGCGGCATTTCTTTCAATAATAACGTCGAATTGCAGGCTTGGCTGGACAAATTTTTTGAGTCGAAACCGAGAAACTTTTACCGAGGAGTCATTGAACAACACGTGGAACAATGGGAACAAGTCGTAAACAACAATGGAGAGTATATTATTGATTAATTTTTTGTTAATTATTGTTGAAAAATAAAGCTAAAAAAAAAATTGAAAAAAAACGGCCATTACTTATTAGCCAACCCAATATAATAATATTTAAAGTAGACCTTAATTAAATATTGATTATTTAAAATTAAAAGTATAATGACTCATAAAATGAAAAAAAGTTAAACTAAAGCATGCACTTTAAAACTCTTCAGTAACACTTAAAAAGTTATAGAAAATTTTATTGCTTATTTCAAAAAGTGACTTTATCAGTTGACCTATTTGAAAATATAGTTCTATTCATTTACGGTCGCATTCAAGTCTCATTTTATTCAGTTCAGTTTACTTCAGTTTATTAAATATTTCAATTTCTAGAAATTTACTTACTTTAGGCTTAGCGTAGTCATATAAACTGTTTATATAGCGTAGTCATATAAACTATTTATATAGCGTAGTCATATAAACTGTTAACAACATAAAGTACTAAACAATTCGCAATATATTATAATTGTTCTCTACTGCAGGTCTATTCATCGCGCAACCGGATTTTTTTTGTGGAGGTCTACTTGTTTACGGCAAAAAAATATTATTTCTTCACGTACAGACCAGATAAAATGTCATTTCGTTTGTGATATAATAAGTGATATAATAAGTGTTTTTCTGCTTATATTTTCTTTATTTGTTTACTATGCTTACAATATATTTTTGTTATTATACTATACCAACTAAAATTTGATATTTATTGAATCTTTGCAGTCTTTTATCGATAATTGTTTTTATGTCATCGTTATTTGTTACGTTTTGTCAGTTTATTACTGTTTGTAACTGTAACTATGTTTATATAGATGATTTTTTAATGGAAGATTGTATTGATTTATTTTAATTCTTTTAGTTACTGGTTTTATACAATTTTTGTTGACGTAATTAATGGACAGCCTTCTATTAAATATTTATTTAATAATTCCGTTATATATATATTGCATTTATTAATACCATGTTTTTATTTTAATCATTATTATTGGGTGTTAATTATACTTACTGGTAATATTATTATTGTTATTCTTATTATTATACAATTAATTATTTTTATTATTGTTGTTATTATTAATTTATTGCTATTTTTATTTTTATTATAATTATATGTGTCTATAATGTGTTTTATATCATCAAAGAAGTTTTTACTTTATATTAGTTTTTATAACTATTTGTAAACGACCGTGGAAGTTAGATCTTTTTTCCAGAATATATGATTGATTAATTGATTGATTGATATATATTTAAATAATGGAATATTATACAATGTTAATAAACTTATATGATTTAAACATGGATTTTCAGCTTTAATTCAAAGCGAAAAATGTATTTATAAAATTTAGATTAAATCATCATGCTATATAAATGTTGTGTGTATGCTTGTCACACCAATTATCAACTTGAAAAAAACAAAATATGTAGTGAAGTTAATAGAATATCAGTGTATCGGTTTCCAAGTGATAACATTGAGCGTGAAAAATGGATAAAAACTATTGCAAACTCTAATTTGGTTGTTACCAAGTTCACTGTTATGTGTGAGTTACAGTGACTTCCAAATTTTGATACAGTAATAATGCATGGATGAAAATGTCGACCAAAATGTCCTCCTTCTGTTTGGCTGGAAATACCTTTATCTTAAATTCCAACTGCTAATCCAACTGAAAGAACAACCAAAAGATTTCAGATTTAATGATTTTTAAGCAAGTAACAAAACAATTTTGAATTTTATAAAAAAATTTTAATTTTATTTAGACAGCCTAACTATATTATTTCAAACAACTTGCTGTGTTTAATATATAAACTTACAAAAATAAATAGTTTCAAAATATTCTAAGGGGGCAACCACCCCCATTGCTCCCCTAATGGATCGGCCCTTGGCCCGCAGGATGTTTTGATGTTTCAGATAGGACACTTTCACACATTGTGCAAACTCCAAACTTAATTATGTTTAAACCTATGCCAAATGAGAAGACCTTGCCAAAATTTGGGTGGCGGAAACCTGGGAACAAAAAAGCTGGGAACAAAAAAACATTTGCCTCCACCTTTCTGCCAAAACTTGAGGGCACTAATATAGTAAAATTGTCGACTTTACTATATTAACCTGTTTTTAAATTTATTGACAGATTTTAAATTTCGTAAAAAAATATTGCAAATTATAAATGTTATGATCATTCAAGATTTACACCCCTGTCATTTTTGAGGAGTTGGTGCCACTTGTGCCAATTTTTGTAAATACGAAGCAATTACAAAAACTGGCAAAAGTGCGAATTGGAATAAATGCGCCAATAGAACTTGCAAACATTTGCATAAGTGCGAACTGGCATTAGTGCAAAGCAGTTGCAAAAACTGGCGTAAGTGCACCAAATAAATTTAAAAGCATTGGCATAAATGCACATATGCCAATGTTTGTATATATGCCAATGTATATATATATATATATATATATATATATATATATATATATATATATATATATATATATATATATATATTTAAAATATATTATATATTACTGCAAAACACAAGAATTTCTCGCAATGGATCTAAATCATACTAGAAAAACTCCCTAATGGGAATAAATAGGCGCAATTTTTATTTTTGGCCCTG